GTTTAAAGCCCGATTTCAATTTATAAAATTGTCTAACCCTTCCCCCTCTTTATGAGAAGAGTTTTAAATGAGCAGTTAACTTTTTGACACTGGTTTTAAAATAATTAATCTATTACTTATAAACTCTTCTACATTAATAATAAAACTTGGCAGAAGTTGTGAAGGCGAGGATGGAGTATATCGAAAGAAGGAGTATTTCCTCTTAAAAAAAGAATAAATCCCAAGCTTTCTTGCAGGCATATGATTCAATTTTTTTGACGGGGTGGGGGTTGCATTGGGGGTGGGGGTTCGGGTCACAAACGACAAAAGAACAAACTTTTAGTAGAGCCTTGAGTAACTTTTCTTGGATGTTGTTAATAACGCAAAGATGCAGTCATGGAAGTAGAATAAAGTGTGTGCATTGAACAGGTACAGTCGTGAATGTTGTTTTTAAGGCACAGGTACAGTCAGGGATGTAGAATAAAGTATGTATATATCCACAGGTACAGTCGTGGATGTTGTTTATAAGGCACAGGTACAATCATGGATGTAGAATAAAGTGTGTGTACTGGACAGGTACAGTCATGGATGTTGTTTATAAGGCACAGCTACAGTCATGGATGTTGTTTATAAGCACAGGTACAGTCATGGATGTAGAATAAAGTGTGTGTACTGGACAGGTACAGTCATGAATGTTGTTTATAAGGCACAGGTACAGTCATGGATGTAGAATAAAGTGTGAGTACTGGCCAGGTACAGTCATGGATGTTGTTTATAAGCACAGATACAGTCATGGATGTAGAATAAAGTGTGTGTACTGGACAGGTACAGTCGTGGATGTTGTTTATAAGACACAGGTACAGTCATGGATGTAGAATAAAGTGTGTGTACTGGACAGGTACAGTCATGGATGTTGTTTATAAGGCACAGGTACAGTCATGGATGTAGAATAAAGTGTGAGTACTGGACAGGTACAGTCATGGATGTTGTTTATAAGCACAGGTACAGTCATGGATGTAGAATAAAGTGTGTGTACTGGACAGGTACAGTCGTGGATGTTGTTTATAAGACACAGGTACAGTCATGGATGTAGAATAAAGTGTGTGTACTGGACAGGTACAGTCATGGATGTTGTTTATAAGGCACAGGTACAGTCATGGATGTAGAATAAAGTGTGTGTACTTGACAGGTACAGTCGTGGATGTTGTTTATAAGACACAGGTACAGTCATGGATGTAGAATAAAGTGTATGTACTGGACAGGTACAGTCATGGATGTTGTTTATAAGGCACAGGTACAGTCATGAATGTAGAATAAAGTGTGTGTACTGGACAAGTACAGTCATGGATGTTGTTTATAAGGCACAGGTACAGTCATGGATGTTGTTTATAAGCACAGGTACAGTCAGGGATGTATAATAAAGTGTGTGTACTGGACAGGTACAGTCGTGCATGTTGTTTATAAGACACAGGTACAGTCATGGATGTAGAATAAAGTGTGTATACTGGACAGGTACAGTCATGGATGTTGTTTATAAGGCACAGGTACAGTCATGGATGTAGAGTAAGATGTGTATACTGCACAGGTACAGTCTTGGATGTTGTTTATAAGGCACAGGTACAGTCATGGATGTAGAATAAAGTGTGGTACTGGACAGGTACAGTCATGGATGTTGTTTATAAGGCACAGGTACAGTCATGGATGTTGTTTATAAGGCACAGGTACAGTCATGGATGTAAATTAAAGTGTGAGTACTGGCCAGGTACAGTCATGGCTGTTGTTTATAAGCACAGGTACAGTCATGGATGTAGAATAAAGTGTGTGTACTGGACAGGTACAGTCGTGGATGTTGTTTATAAGACACAGGTACAGTCATGGATGTAGAATAAAGTGTGTGTACTGGACAGGTACAGTCATGGATGTTGTTTATAAGGCACAGGTACAGTCATGGATGTAGAATAAAGTGTGAGTACTGGACAGGTACAGTCATGGATGTTGTTTATAAGCACAGGTACAGTCATGGATGTAGAATAAAGTGTGTGTACTGGACAGGTACAGTCGTGGATGTTGTTTATAAGACACAGGTACAGTCATGGATGTAGAATAAAGTGTGTGTACTGGATAGATACAGTCATGGATGTTGTTTATAAGGCACAGGTACAGTCATGGATGTAGAATAAAGTGTGTGTACTGGACAGGTACAGTCATGGATGTTGTTTATAAGGCACATGTACAGTCATGGATGGTGTTTATAAGGCAAAGGTACAGTCAAGGTACAGTCATGGATGTTGTTTATAAGGCACAGGTACAGTCATGGATGTTGTTTATAAGGCACAGGTACAGTCATGGATGTTGTTTATAAGGCACAGGTACAGTCAGGGATGTTGTTTATAAGGCACAGGTACAGTCAGGGATGGAGAATAAAGTGTGTGTACTGGACAGGTACAGTCATGGATGTTGTTTATAAGGCACAGTACAGTCATGGATGTTGTTTATAAGGCAAAGGTACAGTCATGGATGTTGTTTATAAGGCACAGGTACAGTCAGGGATATTGTTTATAAGGCACAGGTACAGTCAGGGATGTTGTTTATAAGCACTGGTACAGTCATGGATGTAGAATAAAGTGTGTGTACTGGACAGGTACAGTCGTGGATGTTGTCAATCAGGCACCGGTACAGTCATGGTGTAAAATTTCTAGAGTTGTCTGGACAGTACAGCAGAATCTTAGAGAGGTGGATCTAATAAAAATATTTACTTATACAAATATTTTCTTCGGATGTTATCGATAATTATAGCATTAATTTCCTTTTATATGAGCAATTATTTTAATACCATACCCTACGTATTCCAGGTATCACACCACGGTTATCGACCAGTCAAAATGTTAATTGTTTCATGCATATAAAATTAATTTTTATTTCTTTTGAGATTTTTTTTTTGGGGGGGGGGGGTTTATTCCAGCCTATTTTTACAACTTTGATACCTGTGCCTAGTAAATTTTATGTACTTTGTAAATAAATAAAGGTTTTTTGTCAGGAACTATTCTTTTTCAGGGCATATAGGAGGCTACTTCCTGGGGTGCACTTGAGATGTTTATATATATAACACATTGAAAACGGGTGGATTAGCCCATTCCACCCGTATATATCGTAAGACATATATTTATGGGAAAAAAACCTGTGCTTTTCATTGACACCTCTTGCGTGTTTAATGAAAATTGTGAAATTAATAATATTATGACGTACTTATACTTTCTAACATAAAATTGAGGATTACAAATTAATTCCAATATTTATTTTAATTTCCTTTTTTATTTTACTTTGTTTATTGTTTACTCGTATATTTTCTATAATTATACTAGCATGTTTCATTTTAAATTCATCATTGTTATTGAGCACGTAGGATATTGAAATCATGCCCCCCCCCCCCAAAAAAAAAAAAAATTAAAGACCTGGCTCATATTGTACTCTGAACATAAAGCTTTAAATTTAAATCTGTAAAAGTTTTGGATCCTTCCCTAATCACTGCTGACTTCGTTTGTCTCGGTATCACTGTCATGGGTAATATAAAGATTAGCGTTAATTGCGCTTTGATTGAATTCAGTCTAAATCTAAATCGGAGAAAATCCACAGAATTTTTTGTTGTGGATGTTATTAATCAAGCGCGGGTTAAGTTAATCAAGCGTGGGTTGAGTCAGTGGTAGTGTGTATGTACGGCACAGGTACAGTCGCAGATGTTGTATATCAGGCACAGGTATACAGTCATAGATATACAAAATGTATGCTGTAGTAAATGTTACTTTTTAGAGATAATTTAGCGATCTATGCAATGGATTTAGGCATAGTCAAGCTTACACATATATTTTCCGCGATATATTCACTAAGCTAGTTATCGTTACCGTTTTGGCGATTACAGCCTTCCATAAAGTAGATTAATTATTAACACATTTCGTATGTTTCATTAAAAAAAACAATCCATACTTAATTAACAACATACAGTTTAATACGTTGAACAATCCGGAAAATCTTGCTCTGACATTCCGTTTTTGATATTAGTGAGCAGGTACAGTCATGGATGTCCGGTACCAGCATTGCCGAGTACAGTTGCGGATGATAGCTGACAGTCACTGTTGCCTCTGAATGCTATAATTTTTTTTCATTAAACTTTACTCACAATAAATTTGAAAATCTGTTGAAAAATATCAATGTAATGCAATCACGCCACAAACAGCTGACAAACACTGCACTTTGGAAGTTCGGTAGGCACACCTCCATCATCGAGATCGTTGTGACGTTGTCTTAACAATGTAAGCTGCTAGCTGTCGCCAGTGTCTCCACGTCAACATCATAAATTAATAAATATGCCTTACTAAAATCGTAGATTTTATGTTTTTGATCAAATTTTGTACTTGATTTCAAGTTATCTGGTCCGGACAAGTGTCTCCATCCATCCCTTTCCGACCGAAATTCCTCCAACTTTTTATTATCAAACATCGGACGTGTTTCTTGTGTTTTTTAACATCGAATATGGGTTCTCATGAATACAAAAATTCCCAGACACCAATATGCTCACTATAATTGATCATAAGTAGCCTTTCACAGAATATTCCCTTCAAAACAGAATCTTTTGCCTGATGAATTTGAAGCGTGACCGCTTTTCAAGCCGATTTACACCTAGGCTAGCGTAATTTGTCAAAATCTGCGACGTACAGTTAGTGCAATATTTATATTCGATTACATTCTATTGTCCGTCTCAAATGTATATATAAGTAATAAATAACAAGTTTAAAAACTTCAATGGGAATTGAAGTGGGTCGGTACGTGATCAAATCTTCTGAGAAGGCCTTCGGCCTTCACAGGATTTGATCACGTGACCGACCCACTTCAATTCCCATTAAAGTTTTTAAACTTGTTATTTTTTTCTTAAATATTTTAAAAATATATATACCTGTGAATTTCAAAATGTAAGTTACATAGTTAATAAGATGACAGTCATCATACATGTATAATGTGATGTATACCTGACCACTATGACTTCCCCTATACCGAGTGACACGCCTATATATTGAGCAATGAAGATGGATGCCACAGCCTCATATAGCGCCGTGCCGTCCATGTTGATGGTGGCGCCTATGGGGGTCACAAACATGGTCACACGGGGGTCCACCTCATTGTTCTCCTCCAGACACCGCATGGTCAGTGGTAGGGTAGCAGAACTGTAACAACATATCACATGTTATCAATGGAAAACAAAACTTTTACACAAGGAAAAAGTTCAAAAGATAATTGTGAAATCTGGATCCATAGACCAATTTTTCGTAGTTCAAAAGATAATTGTGAAATCTGGATCCATAGACCAATTTTTCGTTTTAAAGTGCTTAAGGATATCCGATCCTCAGATAGGAACGATAACTCCTAAATCTATTATTTAATTTAAAAAGTCTCAAAATGAAGCTTGATATTGAAATATTTCCTTGCAACAATTTTCATTTTATGCATCTCAATATGATTTAAGGTTCCTTGAAGTCTTCTAGATGACATTATAAAAAGTTGACATTGTACCCAAGAAAAATACAAAAATAAATTCATTTTTAAAGAAATCAAATTTCCTCTAATCTAGCATTAGATCCCAATGCTTATTAGCATGATATGAAATTAGAAATGATCTGGGATGTCTTGCAATGATAACACAAACTTTTTCACTATGTATTTTATAACACTTGAATTAAGTAGAACTAAAATACTGTATAAGTGTGCAAAACATGCAATTTTCTCCAAATGCCTGGATACCTTTAATTTTGAATCCAAAAATATATTTTTTGATCAGTTTTCAATTAGAAAATCCATAGCTGGTGCTTTTATTCGCATTTACTGAAAATATATTTGACTGATTTGATAATTTCCCCTATATAATATGATTAACTTTACTGATGAACTTTGAAGAAATACCATAGGTAAATATACGTTATTCTGTGAAATCCAAGACAATTTTGTGAGCATTTTCAATTATTGAAAAGCTGATTTTCAGAACCTGAGGATCGGACTACCTTAGGTGTATTTTTTCAATGCACAAACGTAAAAACTTTCCGCTTTTATTTTTTTTCATTAAGATATAAATCTCAAGATCCAGTTGTAAGATGTGATCAAGAATCGATTGATCCACCCCCTGGTTTACCCTACATATCCGTCAGATTTACCTTGAGGCCGTTCCCCATGCTGTAAGAATAGCTTTGGTCATGCCTAACATGAACGAGAACGGGTTTTTCCTTGTGAACACGGCGTATATAATGGGTAGTAAGATAAAGGCATGGATAAACAGACCGGCCAGGACGGTTACCATGTAGTAAGCTAGCTGTTCAAACATTGTAGCCAGGTCTTCCATCTCCACCAACTTAGCAGCGATCAGGAAAATTATTCCCACCGGAGAGTACCTGTAAATACAATCAAGAAAATTATCCCCATCGGAAATTTCCTGTAAATACTACATGTATCAGGAAAATTATCTCCACATGAGAATACCCGTGAAATTATTCCCACCGGAGAGTTTTTGTAAATATAAACAGGAAAATTAATCCCAACAGAGAGTTCCTGTAAAAAAAAAAATCAGGAATATTACTCCCACCGGAGAGTTCCTGTAAAAAACAAACAGGAACATTATCTCCACTGGAAAGTTTCTGTAAAATTACCCCCCCCCCCCCCGAAGAGTTCCTGTAAATACAAACAAGAAAATTATCTCCACCAGAGAGTATCTATTAAATTATCCCCATAGGAGAGTACCTGTAAATACAAACAAGAAAATTATCTCCACCGGAAAATCCCCACAGGAGAGTACCTGTAAATACTATCAAGAAAATCATCTCCACTCCAAGGAGAATTCCTGTAAAATCATCCCCACCAGAGAGTTTTGAATGGGCTTTGGACTAAGTTGCATATTAATGGAATACATGGCAAATGTTTTCAATATATTCAAAATATGTACAAAGGTGTGAAGTCTATGGTAAAAATGAATGGCATGTCGACAGAAATTTTTAGCTGTAATGTCGGAGTAAGGCAGGGAGAAAATCTTTTACCTTTTTTATTTTCAATGTTCAGTGACTAAATAAATCCTCAAAAGGACAAAATTACAGAATCTTTAAACAAAACTTTGGATTTGAAAAATATATTTGTAAATCATCTCCTAAATTTAGAAAAAAAACTTTTAAAATTTCGAACTACAAATTATCATTGATCAATAGAAACTGGAAGATGGTATGGTATACCAATTTCTGAAAAAAAAATGTACACTTTGTAATAATGGCCAAATTGCTGATGAATTTCATTATATTCTAGAATGTAAAGCTTTAGCTATTGAAGGAAAAAAATATCTGGGTAAATATTATTCTCATAGACCGAATGTTATTAAAGTTACGGAACTAATGTCAACTCAAAACGAAAATATCTTGAAAAAAAAATATTTATGTTTATCTTTAAAGTTTATCATGCTGTCTGTCCTCTTTGATATATTTCCCACTTTCTTTATTATTACTTTTTTTCTTCGTTTTATACCATATTTTGCATTCTATATGTATAGTTTTTGTACCCCTGACCAGTTTGTTTGAAATGTATATATTTTATAAATGTACCCCATGTACCAAAATTTGGTTTGGGTGAATAAACTGAACTTTAACTTGTAAATACAAACAGGAAAAATATCCTCACTGGAGAATTCCTGTAAATACAAACCCATTGTTCTCAGTCTTATTTTTGGAGGGAAATTAAAATTAGCCAAAAGTGATCTGTTTACTTTGAATATGAATATAAAGTCATTACTCTAAACTGGTACTAAACAAAAAAGTTTTGACCAGTTAATGTAGCAGTCATACTCACCATATAACGAGTGTAACCAACTTCATTGTTGCTACGTGAAGGCATTCAAAGAACTTGACCAAAGGGGCACCATCTTCTCCCATTTTGGAAAGGACCCCTCCCAAAAACAACGAGAACACGACAATTCCTAGAATATTCATTCCCGACGCTTTTGTCACACTCAGTGTTTCTACCTCAAAACTAGTTGTACCTGTAAGTAGTGTGTTAGAATGAGAACCTTTTTTAAATTTTTGATTTAAGTGAAAAAGGAGAAAGGGCAACATATATTATGAATAACATTGGTGATATGTGCTATTATTGAAATGTACGTTTTGCATGTAATGAATGTTATTAAATTGTCTTCTTTTAACGGGTTATTATTTCGCATTCTCTTTCACACATATATAACCAACGTAAAATTTGAAAGCTCTTGCACTAACCATTCAAAAGTTATGGCCAAAATTAAAGTTTTTCAAAAGTAGGTCAAACTCCCAGGTCAAGGTCAAAGGGTCAAAATTGGCAAAGATTAAAGTTTGGTAAAATTTTGCAAAAGTTGGTCAAAGGTCAAGGTCAAGAGGTCAAATATGTGCGTACTCCAAAATAGGTCTTGTCACAAGGAATACACATGTGAAATATGATAGCCATAGCTCCAACCAATTAAATCAAAAGCTATGGGCAAGGTTAAAGTTTTTGCGGACAAACAGAGAGAAAAACAGGGCAAAAACTATATGTCCCCAAATCTTCGATTACGGGGGCCATAAGAATTAAGGTAGATTTGATTTTATGTAAATCACTTGTTCACACTTGTCACCAATGTACGTTATTGCACAACATAATGTCTCATAGTTTCTTACAAATTCAGCGCATTATATAGTTATACCTTTTTTACGCGTCACTCTATCACCGATTGCTATTATAATGCGTCCTTTTATAAGTCGCCAATGTAACTGTAAACTTCGCCGCTTAGTCATTGGCGACTTGTAAAAGGACGCATTATAATGGCAATCGGTGATAGAGTGACCTTTCCTTGGGTACCAACAGTTTTGATCTTTTGTCCCTGACCTTAGAGTTTGACCTACTTTTGAAAAACTTTAACCTTGTCCGTAACTTTTGAATGGTTGGTGCTAGGGTTTTCATATTTCACATGTGTATTTCTTGTGACAAAACCTTCCCTTGGGCACCATTAATTTTGACCAATTGAACTTGACGTTTGATCTATTTTTGAAAAACATTAACCTTTGTCATAACTTTTCAACGGTTGTTGCTAGAGCATTCATATTTCACAGGTACATTCCTTGAGACAAGCCCTTTCTTTGGGTACCAACACTTTTGATCTATTGACCTTGATCTTGAAGTTTGACGCATTTGAGAAACTTTTTTCTTTACCATGAGCTGCCATACGGGGGCATCAGTGTTTCAAAAACACACTTTAACCCCCCTTTTTTTTAAAGGAATAAGGGTGAAAGGAAGACTAAGTTTGTCCCACCAAAACTGGAGAACTCTACTTAGTGAAGGAGTGATTTTTGTCTTCAGCTTCTCTAGGTTACGTTTTGAGTATACCCTGTAGAATCGAGTATTCCTTTGTATCTCCACTTGAACGAGATCGTAATTTTTGTAATGCCTTTCTTTTGTTCCAAATTCTTTACAATTGTCTTCATGATTTTCTCTCCCAACATGATTTGGAATCTAACATGTGTTCTTAATTTTGGATCTTTCTCATTTCTATAGGTTCCAGTTGCTAATTGATAGCAATCTTATGAACTATATTCGGGATTATATACATGTGTACGAGTATATTGACACGCACAGGAAACGCAACAAACAGTTATCTATATGTATACAAACATCTGAATATTTTATCTAATGATATTCATAATTTAACATAGATTTTAAAATTAAGAAAAAAACTTGATTTAAAACTTAAAACCATCAGAGACTTCATAGAATCGTGGATTGTTATTTTTAAATTTTAGAAGGTAACAGGTATCCGTTTATCGGATTCTACAATGCATTGAGTTCATAAGTCTATTGATTCTAGAGAAAGAAATATTCTTCGAGTCTTTTTGAATTGCCTGCTACTCAGATGCTGAAGTCGAATCCCTTGATCCTGGCGCACTTTGTCTTCTGGTCCACAGACTGTCAGTCAACCTAGTGAGACGTACGCGCATGTACAGGCGTGATACATATTGCATCTTTTTAGCTGCAACACTCTTTGAATGCAATTGGTACGCGCACTTACAGTCATTTCCATGCAATGCCTTGGCATCACTTAAGGAAAAGAAATGAGAACTCTTTTTTTCGAATAATGCTGCATGCTTATGAACAGAAACAGAGTTTAATAAACCGAAATTTTCGTCTTTTTTTTTTTTTTTTGGTTAAACGTGCAAAGATTGCCGTTAAATCGGGCTTGGCTCGTAGTATGGTAGGGATGAAAATCATTCAGTTGTTAAATAACCAACTACGCAAACTCGTCCTTACTTTTAAAATACAAAATTATACCCTTTATCTCTTTTTTTTAATCTAATTTTTCTCTCTCTAAATAGGATTTTGCGTGTATGCATATATAAAAGAAATGAATAAATCATAAGGAATAAAAACACATAGGTATTATTTCCTTTATAACGTTTAATTAAAAGAATTAGCTTTCAATACACTGGGTACCCGGTATATCGCAAATAAATACGCAGTATTTTTTTAAAGTAGGGCAACGCAATCAGAATTCAATTTTTCATTGTGAAATGCTCTGATTACACGGAAAATAGAACTGAATGAGAGTTACTGCGCATTAAAGAGTCACATTTACAAGGATGAGTTTATTTGTACTAATTTTAACCCACGCCAAATTACTTCGCATTAGATAAACAAAGTTCTTTCGAATTAAATTTAGAAACGTATAAAACCAACATTAAGTCAAAAGCAACATGGTGCTGATCAGAAATAACTATTCTCGTACAATCAAAGCGAAAACGTTCTTATTCAAAGACTACCAAGCACGACGAATGTTATCTATCATAAAGTCAGTCTTAAACCAAAAATATTTACAGTCAGTGTCATTTTCTCTATAAAATTCATTGAAAATCTACAACATTCAAACCTTGAATGAATTCACAATATGAACAATATACGCTTTTGTTACACTAGGAACACCGTATATTGTTTTCGCTCAATTTGATTAAAAGCAAAAACCCATTAAATTGTTGTAAAAATATAAAAATTGTACGTTTAAAATTAATATGTCATTTTTCCCCTCGCAATATTCATTTGCTACATGTATATCAAAATGGCTCTTACGTCTATTAACCACATCGGTTCTGAAAATCGCTAAATTTATAATACTATAGTAAAGATGAATGAAATTAATCATTTTGAAGACAGAAACTTAGAGAATGTAAATATAAGCATTGTATTCTTATTTTTGGATGTCGTCGGTCGTATAACAACACGTCCTTGCCGACAAATTCAATTTCTCGGTACGACCAGGTGCTTATACAACAATACGAATTCAATGCTTAATTAACTGTAATTTGCATCCTCGATACAATTCCACATAAGTAGGACTTATAGTAACATGGTTATGCATCTATTACAAAAATTACTCAGTCATCAATAAAGGTTAAATCCAGCACCTAAAGCAGGTCTGGCAGTGTGCATCCTTCTTTATGCAAGTTTCTTTAAGGTAGGCATTTAGTATAAACTTGATATATGTTTCATAAATTTCTTTTCGGTTACATTTTAAAAAAAAATAATAATAAAAAATTGATTGGTGTTCTGGGGGGTCGAACCTGGTTGCTTTAGTGCGAGGGGCGGCGGGTGTATCGATTCGGCTATCCGGTAAGTAGGTATCGTATCGATGCTTTCTTTTCATATCTATTATATTCTATTTTAATTTAAATCACTTTGGGGTCTATTTTGCGGCAGGTAGTAATTCGGTCTAAGGGTATTTAAACTCGTGCCTTTAGTTCTATTGTCATTCGACAAGTTAGACACGACCTATTAGTTTTCCGAATTTTTTTACTTTGATATAACAATCAAGCAGAAATCTTTTGTAGATTGCTGTTTAGTTTCATTTAAGTTTGATCCGATTCCTAGCCTGGAGTTCCATTGCATTTTAAGGACTAATCCTGTGCTTGCCTATGTGCTATATCATCCAAACCGGCCTGTAAAGATGCACCAATGGACGCGTTTATTTTTGTACAAATCTGGCTAACATTGTCGCCTCCTTCTATATTTGTGTTTGAGTTTTTATTTATGTAAAAAGAATAGGAAATAATTTATGCTCGGCTAAGCGAAGCGAAAGAGAACATAAAGACAATTAAAACTGGTCACTCATAAGGAAAATGTAGGTCAGACCCAGCATCCAAAGCATGTTTAGTAATGCGCATCCTTAGATGCATCATCCATGCAAGTTTAGACACCATTTGGCTTAACACATATATACTCACAATCAAATCCACACTAAATCTACAGGCAGGTAGTATCAGGGCTGATGAAAAAAAAACTCTTGTGTTGAAAAAGTTTAAAATACCCCCTTATCCCCTAATAGGTTTTCGAGTTTGGGAACTTTTTAAATGAGATGTGTGAATTCAGAAATGATAGTACATATATACTTATATATTGTAAAGCATTCCTCGTAATTGTGGGGTTGGGGTAAAATATCTGACGTTATTCTATGTCATTTAGTGGTAGTCTGTTATCTTCCGAATTACAGTGGACATTCTGAAATTAACATTGTCAGTCTTACCGTTGTCCGTGGTGTTCGACCCTGTCATATTTCCGTTTCCGGTCAGATTCGTTGCCAAGTCCACTACTGTATATAAAGAGAAAAAAAGAAACCCGTTATCCACATAATATACAGAAAGTAAAGACATGAATGAATTTTTATTACAGGACTCCGCATATATATCAATTTCAACGATATTTTTTCAATAATTTTTTTTATTATATATATCTCCTACTATCCAAACTCCGTCACCATAGGCGGAAAACACACCGTGTTGCTCTCTTTTAAACATTTTTTTTAAATTACTATTTAAAAAAATGTCGTTATTGGGCTTTTATAAAACCACTAAATACAAAATTTGTTTTCAGTTTAGTTTTATGTACCTTTTCCTCAAACTGGTATACACAAAAAATAGTTGTTAAGATTTAAAATATCATTAAATTATCTGGTAGTGTGCATCCTTCTTCACGCAAGTTTCTTTAAGGTAGGCATTTAGTATACTTGACATATATATGTTTCAGACAATTAAAACCGGTCTCTCATAAGGAAAATGTAGGTCAGATCCAGCATCCAAAGCATGTTTATAATGTGCATCCTTAGATACATCATCCATGCAAGTTTAGACACCATATGGCTTGAAGGCTAATTGGAAATAGATTTTCTCTGAAAACTACTCCAAAGTATTTAACCTCCGGGACGCCAACACCAAATCCAATGGTATACATTGAAGAAACCATATGTATATACTCTCAATTTAGTCCACACTTACCCTATAGGTACGTAGTATCAGGGCTGATGAAAAAAAAACTCTTGTCGAAAAAGTTTAACCTACCCCCTTACCCTCCAAATAGGATTTTCGAGTTTGGAAGTGAAGCAAAGTAAAAAAAAAATTGGCGCATTCGTATGAACAGGAAAGTTTAAATGAGTAGTGTGAATATATATATATATATATATATATATATATATATATATATATATATATATATATATATATATATATATATATATATATATATATATATATATGGTGAAACATATATACTTATATATCGTAAAGCATTCCTCGTAATTGCGGGGTTGGGGTAAAATATCTGACGTTATTCTATGTCATTTAGTGGTAGTCTGTTACCTTCCGAATTACAGTGGAGCATTCTGAAATTAACATTGTCAGTCTTACCGTCCGTGGTGTTCGACCCTGTCATATTTCCGTTTCCGGTCAGATTCGTTACCAAGTCCAATACTGTGTGTACAAATGAAAAAAAAAACGTTATATGCATAATATACAGAAATAACACACACGAATGAATTTTGATTACAGGATTCCGCATATATATCAATTTTATTTTTCAATAAAAAAAAAAAATTATTACATATATAGGTTATGGTATATTTTTTTTTTTAATTTATTAAAGTACTTTAAAATTGACACTTGTTATTTGATAAGAATTTCTGGAGTTGAATTTGTGCAGCATTTTAAGTCGTTTCTAAATGGAATATACTGCTATAGAGGACTATCTTACAAGTCTCCGTTAGATTGCTGGAGGAGTTCGTCAGGGGGTTAAAGGTTGTTTTGGTCACTGTCCTGCTTCCAACCGTTGTCACTTGCTAAATTAAATATAAAAATCACGGGTGAAAGAGCACGTGTAATTGAGTTTAACAATCCAGTTTTTTAAAAAAGTTTTCAGTTTAAAAAAAAAGCCTCCCCTAAAGTTGGCATAAAATACACGGAAGTCATTACCTTCTGGAAAGCGCTCTCTATAAGGTTATCTGGAAAGCAGTTTCTAAAATTATAAAAATAATGTCAATATAATGTTTCATTTCACGAATTTTCCCCTTTATTTAATAATCTGAAATAATCATATTTGTAGGGGAAAAGGAAGAAAATATTCCATCCAACAAGGAAAATCTTTTGGTATATTATTTTTACTACATTGTATATAATTCAATAAAACCGATTGGTTTGCTTGTTATCACGTGCAAAATTATATTTTACGATATTGACTTGAGTTACTAAAAATTACTTAAGGAAAATCCAAAGATATATTTATAATGGTGAAAAGTCTTTAAAACTTACAAATTCCTACACAATGAATTTGTTTGTCTCTTTCTCTCCCAAAGAAAATAATATAACAAATATAGCCCTTTTATGAGGTCAATCCATCGGTATATCGACTTCACAGAAAAGCATATCGACTGAGCACGATATGCTTTTCTGTGAAGTCGATATATATATGGATTGACCTCATAAAAGGGCTATATTTGTATAATAATCAATTTTGATTTTAGTTAAAATTAGACTGTCGAATCGAACACACCGTATCAGGTCAAAGAGGGCGTCTAGAGGCTCTGCTTCTTTGGGTTTGCCTGATTTAGTGATATCCTTGCTACCCTTCTTTCCTGGCTCTATCGTCATCACTAGAATAATTCCTAGAATCACGGCGGCGAATGTCGTCGTCATGTAGTACACCACTGTGCGCAGGCCCATACGACCGGAAGCATTGGTGTCGAGACTTCCCATAGCGGTGATGAGGCTCGAAACAATAAGAGGAAGAATCAGCATTTTTAGCATATTCATGAGGAGATCTCCTGGGAAACGGAGGTAAAAGATTTTTCTTGTTTCATACGGAGTCCAAACGCTTCGGAGACCAAACCCAAGACCGAGCCCGATGATGACTGCGATGATCATGAGGATGATTAGAAGATTCGTTCTAAGAACCTTCAAAATCCTATCGCGCATTTTGGAAGATTCTTCACGTTTTTTCGTCATTTTTATTTCTAGTCCTGGAAACAAAGTAAAATAACTTTAGAGATCTTGACAATATTCATCATATACAAAACAGACTTGTCTGTCTGAAATCTATAGTGCCCTTGATTCAAAGAAGTCTTCAAAACTGAAAGGGTGTCTTGAAAAAAAAAGTTAAAAGTAATGTCCTCTCACATTACAAAAAAATATGTATATGTATATGCAGGCCGTGCAATCACGCGTTTTAAAATTGTGTTGAATGCCTTAGCGATCGCTTTCTGTTATATTGTTTTAAAAAGAGGGAAAAAATAACACGGGGTGAAACACCTTTATTAAATTTTAAGAGTGTGAGGTCGTTGCTTCCTGATATCATTCACCAGAAATCAGATTAATACAAACATGTGTGTAAACGTAGATTCCAGAATAGAGACCCACCACAATAGACTCGCCTCTCTTTTGTAAGAACTGCTCTTATTTCAGGATCTAAAATACAAACTTCTTGGTGATTTTTTTTTAATCTTTACAAAAAGCAGACAGTAGACGTGTATCAAAAAACCTTATTGGAAAAAAAATGGTGAAAGGAGGGCATCTTCTGTTAAATATATTTTCATAAAAGCCAATTGCCTTGAACAGGAGATATCAACGTCGAAAATACTTAGTTAAAGACGACCTCTTCGGGCAGTTGCATTGCATTTTGTATGCTCGTCTTTGTCTGTTTTGCTAAGTAATTAAAATATTTTCAAGGCTACTACATATTTGATAATAAACATTTTGTATGAAAACGTGTGTGTTTTTGTGCGTGTGTGTGTGCCTGGGGGAGGGGGAGGGAGGGGGATATGTCATGAAACAGACGCGACATGTACATTTCGACGAGCCACCGTGTACATGTAGGAAGGAGAGTTAGCGAATACACCCAGTAAAACGTAAGCATAAACAATAACAGAGCTCGAGTCCAAGTTTACAAACATTTATATAGGTATTTGATGTAAAACTATTTTTAAAAAAACTGTTATTGTTAATTATTGAGAATTTTCAGGTTAGTTCGAATCATTGGACGAAGAGTTTTTTTTTAAATAAATATGGAAATTTAAGATTGTAAGTAAAACGACAATGCAATTAGCATTGTCCCTTTTTAACATTAAATTGAGCGACTTAAAATTAACTGCGAACGCTAAATCCCGATTCCCGGCTACATTTTACACGCTCATACTTTAATTGAAATAATTGCTATTAAATCTTTTCAAATGTAAAGCTGACTTCATTAGTAATTGATTAATAGCAGTGATACCAATGTTAACTAATTGCTGTTAAATACAACTTTTTTCTGATAAGGGGGTATATTTTTTCCATTGATATCAGTCTTTAAAACGTTATGATATTTAGAAATACTCAGATGTGGATAAATGATTTCTTAATCTTTCCTTTCGATAAACTTATGTAAAACTAATTATATCTGATTCATTTAGTAAAATCTTTTAAGTTGTATATAATTTGAAATTGGTCATAAAATGACAATTTTTGGTTCATTTTGGTTTGTAAACATACCCCCCCCCCCCCCCCCCGGTGTGAAAAAACGCTTTGCCATGAATCTGCTAAAATCCGTAAAAAGGATTCTTTTTTGTTGCACAGGGCCGGGAAGGGGGGGGGGTTGAATATATTTTCCGTTTTCCATTGATTTCTATGGTGAAAAACACAAGTTTTACCAAAATTATAGATATAGCTCTCCCCCTCCCCCTAATAAGTTATGTTTTGTGAAAATTCATATAAATATCTAAATAAAAATGAAAAAATCATTTAATCACTTTTGAAAATTGACTTGGCGGTAGGCGGCAGAACAACGCTATCCTTCGCAGTACTTAACATTTTTAATGTTCAAGCTACTTACTGGCATACAATGATATTACGAAAGAAAAATAAAATGTTTAGTACTTATTCCAATACAATAAGGAATTTAAAATGAAGCTAAACTAATTCTGATGGATTTCAAATTGACGAAATTTTATTGAAAAAAATCATTGTTTAGCGTTTCTCAGTACTTTCAGTACTTTGATTGATTTCAGTACCTCAGAAATACTTATAAGGATGGATAATAAGAAATTACGCAAATTTAATCATGTGATATTTTTATGAGATCGATCACAATGGATTGCTGGAGAACACAGCAGTTATTTGTGTAGCATCGCGGGAAATAAAACAGTTGAACATAATCTGTCAAAAGAACTGTTTAATTCCCTGACATACTTCCGCAAAGTCTTCTAATTGAACTTTTTGGAGTTCACCATTTGAATAGCCGGACCTTATCTGATGACTCGTTGCCCCAATAGGTGCCCGTCATGGTGTTAGATCAAATTATATCAATAGAGACCCGGTGACCCAAAACCCATAAAAAAAACTTGTGTTTACTTATGTCAATCTTTATAAGATGTTCGAATGTATTCTACGTAGAATGTCAATACATGGCTGTGGGATTTATAGACTTTGAGCAAATATTACAAAACAAGTGCTCAGTTGCTCATACTCTTAAATTTTCCCTTACAGATAAAACCAGTTGTATGTACTAAGAACCGAATACTAAGATATGTAAAGTTTGATGTTCCCATTTTTTGTTGACTGCATAATTAATTACCAGTAAATTCATTAATATTTTATCTAAAATGTACAAACAAATTCCAGTCACGTACTAGAAAGTATTTAGAATTTGAAGGAAGAGCAGTCTGGGTTTGGGGCGGTACCAAAATTCTTGATAAGTCAAGAAAATAAATAAATAATAAGTAAATAAATTAATAAAAGAAAAAAGAACAACACAGAACAAAGAAAGTAATAATAACAAACAAAAAAATTAAGAAAATTTACTTATCATGCATTACCAAAACAGTTTTGTTCCAAGCCAGAAATCTATTTCGAGAGAGGAAATGTTCAATTTTGATGCCAATACGTGGACATCAAACGTTCACAACCAACTTCTATGACTGTTGAAGGGAGGGGATCGGGGGGTGGATCAGCTATTGTTAATAGAATCTGTTTCATATATCGGCAAATTGCTTTATTTTCACACAAAAAAAAATGTTAGGAGAATACAACCCCCAACACCATCACTATCCCCCAATCTGTTCTACTTTTTATAGAGAAAATATTTCCTAAACAGAGAAATGAAGAAATAGAATTACGGTATTAAGTAGGAGTGCTATCCTGAAAGGAGGAAGTCAACAGAAATATTTATGATGGAACACACAACTATTAAAAAAAAAAAAAGAAAAAAAAAATTAACTCTGTCCAAATCAATGAACAGTTATAATTGATGTGATAGAGTTGTATTTTGTGCTAAAACAATGGCGCATAAATTGTTTTTGTATGACGTGAGAAAATTATCACATAACTCGAATTAATTCAAGAAAGGCAACCATGGAATATTGGGACCCCCCCCCCCCCCCACACACACACACACACACACAAAACACGAGACGGGAAAAGAAACATTTACACTAAACACAAACAATTTGTCAAAATATTGAGACCATGCATTAATAAGCTAATATTTACGAATTGAAAGAAAAAGACATTGCTAAGTTAAAGAATTGATCATCAAAATTTGATCGTATAATATATACATAAATTATCAAAAATAATAAAGTATTTCAATCATATTGGCACAACATACCCCTACCTTGGATGTCAACAGTGCTGGCGACTGATTTTTACCTGTTCTGGTTCAGTGAAAATATCACGGCTGAATAATTACAGTCTAATGTTTACGGACAGTCATAAAACGTGCTCCTGAATACAAGTGTTTAATATATTTATACAGTCTACAAGTACACTAGTTTTATATTGTTTACTAAACTTTCGTCACAATAATGAGTAATAAACACTGCGGTATTTCCCAAATTTTGATACAAATGACGCTCCTCTAACTTACAAACAGGGGGATTGGGATCCGGTGTAAGGAGAAAATGCACGGTGTTTAAAAATTAATTTGCATGCAGACCTTATTATTCACATATAAGACAATTGAGCACTTTTCCCCCAAGACAGAAGTTTAACACATATGTGCTGCAACAGCTGTTTACATGTCACATTTTCTCTACACCAGATAAAAACTGAAGCTCCTGTACAAGGACTGTATTATTATAGTTGTATTTTCTAGGGATGGTAATCGGAACAATTTTTGCAACCGGTTACACAGGAACATAGTATCATTTTTGAATTAAGGGGGGGGGGGGGCAGCCAAAAAATGACAAATTACCTGAAAAAAATTTTGACAAGCAAATAAAAAAGGTATATTGTACAGATTCCAAAACCCTGTTTGATCGGTAAGAGGATGGTGGGGGGCAAGCAGTCTTTCAAATATGATATGAACATATTCAATGAGAAATGATATGTTTTGAAAAAAAAGGAAAAAAGGGGGGACAGCCTCCCCCCTCCCCCGATACTACATTGTGCGTGCCTGGGTTAGTCGTAAAAATTAACCGGTTAATTGAACAGATAAAACTTGTTTATAATTTATTATGATTTATTCAAGTTATACAATTACAAAGCTATTTGTAAAAGAAAATTCTGAAGAGTGAAAATTTTTCAATATTTCGTAAAAAATCTTCGGTGCTTGAGGTAGCCAAAATTGTTTGTATCGTCTGTCAATAACATGGACGTTTAATTAATTGTTTTCGCTATTTATTGCAATCAGAATTAAACCGACAATCACACTAATTTCACTTCTTCACAAGTACTGTTATTTGCTAAGAAAATGATTTCATCAGCTACTGATGATGACTGGCGACTTCTGAACTTCACAAAAAATGGCTTTGATGGCGTAGATGTTCTTGGATTCGCTAATTACTTTTCCGATAAAGTTGAAAGTTATGGGAATTTTGCGCAATTTTCATATCACCAATGCACACTACTACATACTTTTTGACCTCATACTTTTATACTCTTGGTTGTAAAATTTTAATGCTCTGTAAAATCGAGCGGGGTTATATTGTTGATAAGCAGGTCAGATTTCAAGGTCAAGTGAGGTCAGTTTTTGCACGTCAAACTTCGAGGTAGAGATCATGAAGTGAAAAAAAAGAACAACAACAACATAGAAAAAGGCAATACCTTCGGAAAGGTCTTGTCATCGGTACAAAAGTTACGAACAAGTTAAAGTTATGAAAAGTAGGTCAATCTTCAAGGTTTAAGGTCTAGAGGTAAAAAATTCATTCGGAAAGGTCTTTTCACAGGTAATGAACTTGTACATTATGAAAACCTTGTTTCTTCAGGTGCAAACGATTTGGCAAGTTACAATTTTTGAAAAGAAGGTCAAACTTCATAGTCAAAGTCATAAACCATGGTACATCCGAAAAGGTCTTGTCACAGATACTGCACATGTAAACTAGGAAAGCCCTGCCTTGTCTTCCTTTTATCTTGTTTTCTCTGTTTACTTTTATTCTTGTCAGAATCTTGCTTGGGACAGAGAGAAGCATGATTCCAGGCCAAGTTCTTGCATTCTCAGGTCGAGCTTCCTTAGATTCCCTTTCTTCCAGGCGGCTGGTTCCTTCTCCTCTGTCTAGACGTTCCACAGGAGACGCAGTATCGCATCTGCTGAAATCTTTATACCTGCCTTGAGGGCTTCTGGGAGAATTCCGTCAGGCCCAGCTGTCTTTCTGTTCCCCGGTTTCCTCAGATCAAAAGCTACGGCCAAGGGTTTTTTTTTTCAAAAGTACACCAAACTTCAAAGTCAGTGTCATGAGATGAAAAATCATAGAACATTCGAAAAAGTCTTGTCACAGGTACGTCTGTTAAAATCACAAGTAATATGCACGTTAAATATGAAAGCCTATTTTCTCTCATTCAAAAGTTATGACCAAGGTTAAATTTTTTGCGACAGACAGACGGACAGAACAAATGAGGTTTAATGTCCCTGCGCTTTAGCAAAAGTGTAGACTAATAAATACAAAAAACAAACAAACAAAAAACGAGAACAAGCATAATATAACAAAAGAGCACTCTGATAGATAGTTTTGTGTCCCTTTTTTATAATGAGTTTGCAATTTATACATATTTTTTATGGATTTTCTTTCTTTCTTTCTTTTTCTGGTTGCTTGTTTGTTTTGTTTGTTTGTTTGATTTTTGTTTTCATTTTGTTTGGTTGCTGGTTTTTGGTGAGATACAATTTTGAATAATACATTTTAAAACATATACCAGCTTGGAAAAAGGAGGAATATACACGAAATAAAAGAAAGATATACATGTATGTATTTGAACAGAACAGACCAAAAAAAAAATGATGGATTATACTTATTATTTCAACAAATTTCGATTGTATATACATCAATGTTCTAGTGTAATTAAATTGAGCACGTGTAGTTCAAGGAGAAAATATTTTTATTCGAAGCCTTCAAAGCTTTTATTCTGAGCTTGCTTAATATTATAATATTTCGTGAACAAATAAAATATGGAATAGTATATTCTGACATGGTTTATCTGCCACTCTGTTCAGCAAATGTTTCGTTTTTTACACAAATATTGCTGTATTGCCTGATCCATATAGCTATTATACGTTTTTATAAAGTTTGATCAACAAGCACCTGATTTGGGTGAAAATACGTTATTTTCAGTCGATTTCCTCAATTATACATTGTATCAAGTTATGTGGTCTTATTTCATTTTCTTACCAATTGTAAACTCGACCTCACAAGTCTTACAAAATAAAATGGTGAAAATGAAAAATAATCACATATCATGATATAGGAGCATTGAGGAAACAGACTGGGGAACTACTTATTTGAAAATATTTACAGCAATTTTTTTTTCATAAACAGCACAAATGGGTTGAGGTTAGATATCCCTAGGTCGTACATAACCACACCGGGAAAAAATAGGGGGATAAAATTAATATGATCTAGCTTGCTTCATGGCTAAACCATGGTTTTCTCCAAAACAGTTGAAAGCTTTACCCTGAATCATATATTGAGCCCTTAACTTGAGCCCTACTTTATTTAAAATGTTTATAAATTATTTGCCATTATATTTACAAAGTTGTATAGACTCTGTCAAGTTACACAAAAAAAATATAGACTGTTTATTGTATATGCAGATAATATAGTAATTTTTTCATCAACACCACAAGGACTACTCTTTAGAAGAGTATTGTGATGACGGGGGTATGAAAGTAAATTCTAATTAAACAAAAATTATTATTTTTAATAAAACTGGGAGAACAATTAAACATACATTTCATTACAAAAATTTCAATATTGAATGTGTATCAACTTATAAATACTTCTAGGCATCCATTTCACAGCCTCGGGGACTTTCTCTATGGCTAAACTTGAGTTATACAAAAAGGGACTAAAAGCTTTCTTCAAGCTACAAAAAGATTTCCATAGCTTATATCCCGGGATATCCACCATGCAGTCTAAATGTCTTTGGTCACACTATTAAGCCTTAATACTTTATGGCTCAGAAGTATAGGGAATATTTAATGTTAATAATTCAAAAGTAAAGCAATCTGATGATGTATTGATGCAACTATGCTACAAAAACATTATAGGTGAAAAGAAGATGGGCGAACAAGGCTAGCGAAGTGCCTATGGTGCGACAAACACGAAGATGAAAACTTAATCTCAATTATAACTAAATTTTCTTTGATATTTCATCTAACATTAAAGTATACTTTAAGCAAAATCTCCACAATTTGCAAAAATTTCATAAATTAAGATAGAAATCATTTGCCTATGAAATAGCATACACACACTAAAGAGGGCAAAAAGGATCATTTTCTCATACTATAACACAATTTTTCGATATGAGTGGGTCTTAGCTTCATTTTTTTTGAAAGTTTATCCTCAAAGTTTGCGTAAAAATATACATTTATTGGTTAACAAAAACATGGAGCGAAGACCCACTATACGTTAAAAATACACTTTTATGATACAACATTCGCACATTTCAGAGAAATACTTAAGTCCATTTAGTCAAGGGTCATATAGTGTCAACTGTTCACATCCGCCGCTAAGGATATATTCATAATTTCAGAAGAATTGACGTTTAGGAGAGAACAAATTCCCGGAAGAATGACATTTAAAAATCCTTGTTTATTAGTTGTTTTCTACCGTATATATGTACATATGTCTAAATTTTTCACATTTGTATTTTGCACCTAAAATTTATTATTTACAACTTTAGAAAAAACTCCAAACAGCATTTTGTCCGATAAAGCGTCGATTTTTGCATGAATTTTGGATTTTTTTTGGCCTAGAAGTCCTTTAGGGCAGGCCTGCCCCTAAATAAAATTGTAACATTTTGGTAGGTTGGAATGTAGTGAATAATTTAAGATAGGATTTTTTTTTTTAGGGGCACCCCTGTCCTAGGGTCGAAATTCACAAAAAACCTACAAAAAATAAAGAAACCTGATTTTGACAATTTGCTTCACATTTAAACGTTTTAACTATAGAAGTCAGAATATGATATAAGCGCTGACTTGTCACACCGTGGGTACTTTTTTAAAATCGAGGGTTCGAATCCACCTGGTGCCACATTTTTAAAGTTTTATATTCTCGCCTTTTTAAAGACTATTTAAAATTTTTAATAGGCAAGTGTATTTTTCGTCAATTATCTATTCTTTATGCAAGTCCGGATCCATTCTTGATATAAGAAACACCAGAGAGATAGCAAATCGTAACATTCCAATGTACCTAAAACACAGTCAAGCGGAACTATACCTCAGTATAGCACACTTTCTTCGAGGACAAGAATAACTCTGTGTTACTAGATACAGGTATTCTCGGCTACAGTGAGCTGTGATGGATTTCAATTGTATACATACCTTAGAATTTAATCACATTGCTTTATTCAGTCTGTACTGCTAGTGCTTGTCAGGGTTAATATGTAACGTATTGCTTGTATTATTTAAGCATAATATAATTAGAATAACATATATACATGAACTTTTGTACTGAGTCAACGTTCTAAACTCAGATCTTAAGTTTTGAAACAGTATAGCTACATATCAGTAACTGCACTCCCTTGGATTTCATTTATATAATATATAACATTTATATAATTTGCATACATTAATGACATGTTTTTAAAATATCCACGAAATGTGTTGTTAGATATATACACATTAAGAATAGAATTGAGACTGTAGACATTACCGTTATGTACCATGAGAAACAAAGAAAATTATCAATAATAACATTTCGAGATAACAAACTCAGAATACGTTGATAATATCATGCTACATAGTCACTGTCTATGAAAGGGTTCCTCCTACCTCTACTTACTGAAATAAAGATTTATGAAAAACAAATTACTGCAAGCATTTAGCCTAAGGTCGTTAACCGGAACGGAAATCGACGCAGGTTTTGGTGAACGAAAAAAACAAATCCCGGACCTATAAGTCAGATCCCTATTTATATAGAAGTGAACCTCTCTGAGATCGATTCTGCTTTAACAGTCAGTCAACATTCGACCTAATGACAGATTGTATGAAGACTTGTCTTATCCTAAAAAGTTGTCTTGAGACATTTCTGAGACTTATCTTATCCTTAAAAGTTGTCTTGAGACATTTCTGAGACTTATCTTATCCTAAAAAGTTGTCTTGAGACATTTCTGAGACTTATCCTATTACCTAAAACGTTGTCTTGAGACATTTCTGAGACTTATCTTAACCTAAAAAGTTGTCTTGAGACATTTCTGAGACTTATCCAATCTTAAGGACTAAGGAGTTGTCTTGAGTCATTTCTGAGACTTATCTTAACCTAAGGAGTTTCTCTTGAGTCATTTCTGAGACTTATCTTAACCTAAGGAGTTTCTCCTGAGTCATTTCTGAGACTTATCTAATCCTAAGGAGTTGTCTTGAGACATTTCTTAAACTTATTTTATCCTAAGGAGTTTCTCTTGAGACATTTCTGAGACTTATCCAATCTTAAGAACCAAGGAGATGTCATGAGACATTTCTGAGACATCATGAGGATTTGTTTTGAGCCATTTCTGAGACTTATCTTATCCTGAAGAGTTGTCATGAAACATTTTTGAGAATTATCCAATCTTAAGGAGTTGTCTTGAGACATTTCTGAGAATTATTTTATCCTAATGAGTTGTCTTGAGACATTTCTGAGACTTTTCTTATCACAAGGAGTTGTCTTCAGACATTTCTGAGACTTATCTTATCCCAAGGAGTTGTCTTCAGACATTTCTGAGACTTGTCGTGAGGAGTTGTCTTGAGACATTTCTGAGACTTATCTTCAGGAGTTGTCTTGAGACATTTCTGAGACTTATCTTATCCTAAGGAGTTGTCTTGAGACATTTCTGAGACTTATCTTATCTTAAGGAGTTGTCTTGAGACATTTCTGAGACTTATCTTATCTTCAAGAGTTGTCTTGAGACATTTCTGGGACTTATTTTATCCTCAGGAGTTGTCTTGAGACATTTCTGAGACTTATCATGAGGAGTTGTCTTGAGACATTTCTGAGACTTATCTTATCCTAAGGAGTTGTCTTGAGACATTTCTGAGACTTATCTTATCCTAAGGAGATGTCTAGAGACATTTCTGAGACTTATCTTATCCTCAGGAGTTGTCTTGAGACATTTCTGGGACTTATTTTATCCTCAGGAGTTGTCTTGAGACATTTCTGAGACTTATCATGAGGAGTTGTCTTGAGACATTTCTGAGACTTATCTTATCCTCAGGAGTTGTCTTGAGACATTTCTGAGACTTATCTTATCCTCAGGAGTTGTCTTGAGACATTTCTGAGACTTATTTTATCCTAAGGAGATGTCTTGAGACATTTCTGAGACTTATCCTCAGGAGTTGTCTTGAGACATTTCTGAGACTTATCTTATCCTCAGGAGATGTCTTGAGACATTTCTGAGACTTATCTTATCCTAAGGAGTTGTCTTGAGACATTTCTGAGACTTATTTTATCCTAAGGAGATGTCTAGAGACATTTCTGAGACTTATCTTATCCTCAGGTGTTGTCTTGAGACATTTCTGGGACTTATTTTATCCTCAGGAGTTGTCTTGAGACATTTCTGAGACTTATCATGAGGAGTTGTCTTGAGACATTTCTGAGACTTATCTTATCCTCAGGAGTTGTCTTGAGACATTTCTGAGACTTATCTTATCCTCAGGAGTTGTCTTGAGACATTTCTGAGACTTATTTTATCCTAAGGAGATGTCTAGAGACATTTCTGAGACTTATCTTATCCCCAGGAGTTGTCTTGAGACATTTCTGGGACTTATTTTATCCTCAGGAGTTGTCTTGAGACATTTCTGAGACTTATCATGAGGAGTTGTCTTGAGACATTTCTGAGACTTATCTTATCCTCAGGAGTTGTCTTGAGACATTTCTGAGACTTATCTTATCCTCAGGAGTTGTCTTGAGACATTTCTGAGACTTATTTTATCCTAAGGAGATGTCTTGAGACATTTCTGAGACTTATCCTCAGGAGTTGTCTTGAGACATTTCTGAGACTTATCTTATCCTCAGGAGATGTCTTGTGATATTTCTGGGACTTATCCTCAGGAGTTGTCTTGAGACATTTCTGAGACTTATCTTATCCTCAGGAGTTGTCTTGAGACATTTCTGAGACTTATTTTATCCTAAGGAGTTGTCTTGAGACATTTCTGAGACTTATCTTATCCTCAAGAGTTGTCTTGAGACATTTCTGAGACTTATCTTATCTTCAAGAGTTGTCTTGAGACATTTCTGAGACTTATTTTATCCTCAGGAGTTGTCTTGAGACATTTGTGAGACTTATCTTATCCTCAGGAGTTGTCTTGAGACATTTCTGAGACTTATCTTATCCTAAGGAGTTGTCTTGAGACATTTGTGAGACTTATCTTATCTTAAGGAGATGTCTAGAGACATTTCTGAGACTTATCTTATCCTCAGGAGTTGTCTTGAGACATTTCTGAGACTTATTTTATCCTCAGGAGTTGTCTTGAGACATTTCTGAGACTTATCATGAGGAGTTGTCTTGAGACATTTCTGAGACTTATCTTATCCTCAGGAGTTGTCTTGAGACATTTCTGAGACTTATCTTATCTTCAGGAGATGTCTAGAGACATTTCTGAGACTTATCTTATCCTCAGGAGTTGTCTTGAGACATTTCTGAGACTTATTTTATCCTAAGGAGATGTCTTGAGACATTTCTGAGACTTATCCTCAGGAGTTGTCTTGAGACATTTCTGAGACTTATCTTATCCTCAGGAGATGTCTTGAGACATTTCTGGGACTTATCCTCAGGAGTTGTCTTGAGACATTTCTGAGACTTATCTTATCCTCAGGAGTTGTCTTGAGACATATCTGAGACTTCTGAGGAGTATTGTAGTACTAGTTGAATTAAAAAATTTCCGACGCCCAATTAAAGGATTGACTTATGATTTCTGAGACTCTCTTAATTCTAATAATTAAGTTGTTTTAAACTTGTGACATTTTTCAGACTAACCTAATTCTAAGGAGTTGTCCTGTGCCATCAGCGGTGTTTGGGAGTGGATGAGGCTATCTAGGGCGTCATGTTTGGGGGTTCCTGGCATTTTTGCGGATCTGTGTGTAGTGGTATTTTATGAAACTGTCACCTGTAAGATATCGAATGGTAGTTTACAACACTCTATATACATGTAAACAAATTTCAGCTTTACTGAGATGCATCTGGCTGAAGATGCAGTTGCTAATTAAAAACACCTTTCCAAAGGATAGGCACCAATACTTCTTTTTAGTTGAAACCTTTTAAAGAATAAAACAATTAAAGGATAAACTTGCAGTACTAATGGACATTCTCAGCAGTCATTATGCTATAATGTCGATGGCTGATGATCAACACATTTAAACAAAAAATCTGAGTTAAATTTACTGTCTACAACAAATACACCCAAGATTTAAGTGATGAAATCTGATCGGGAAATCAAAACACAAAGTAACTTCTGAATGATACGTTGGTAGTGTGTATATTATGTTTGTTATTATGCAAAAAATATTAATATAAACAAAAGCCCATTTACCTCATATAACCAGCATTTGACCCAATTTAATTGACTTTCGATTGAAAATACAATGTGTCCATCGCTTCTGTCCCCAATGGGAAAACATTGACTGCATACAATACATACCCTTATAGAAACCGGGAGTGAGGGTGCTGGGTTGTACCTCCAATGAGTATGCCAAGAAATTTATGTTTTGTTGTGCCCCTCTCCCCCTCCCCCCCCCCCTTTAACACCATGTATCATGTCAACATTTATTTTCATTAGAAACCTCCGGTTGGAACTTCTATAACATGATATTAGCCCGGGGGGGGGGGGGGTCACTAGCGTTGCATTTGGGTACGCTAAAAAATCCTATGCATGTAATGGTACCAAATAATCCATATTTCTCTCACTTCATTATATACTTAATAAATGTTCAGTTCATCATTGTACAAGAAAAAAATTCCTTGACTCAATCTACGGAATGTTGAGGGGTTTTCCCTGGAATTTCGTCTAAAAACTGTACTATTCTACACGGATGTCCGTTTAGTTTTGTAAAAAGATATTTTTAACAACACTTATATCAGGATATCTTGTTTTATTTCAAAAGGCACCTTTTCTACGAGATGAAAGTAGCTTCCATTAGAAATTTCTGCTATAAAAAATAAATAAATTGTGCACATAGTTTGAAAAAAAAAAGATATCCGATAATTTAAATAAAGAAAAAGTACCTTGCTTGATCGGTGATTTGTTATTGTAGCTTCAGTCTTTTTTTAATCATATTTTCGTGCAAGGGTTAAATAGAGAGGAATGATTGTGCATGTTCTCATTAGTGACTTTGCGAATTACACATGAAGGTTTATATTTTAGAAAAGTCGTGAATTAGAACAAACTTCTGTAGCACAAAACATTGTAAGAACATTTTTGGCAAGGAATTACCGTGCAATAGTCTATTGCTTATCTGTTTTGAAAAGTGACGACAAACGTAAATAAGCATAAAAATGTTTATAAAATCCCCTCAAATCTCCTCGACGGATAACTCAGACATCGGGATCGGGATCTAAAAACGGAAGCAAGTGCTCTAAGAACGATAACTAGTGTTATCCTTGGAAACGTAATTCGTAAACAGTAATGTCGACGATGGAGAGTGCGATTGAGGATTTAAAGGACGACAATGTTCCACCCTGTTTATACTGGTCTGTGGAGAAAGTGGCAGAATGGATAGAGAAAATAGGATTTCCAAATTACACAGTATGACCAAAAATGATTCAGTAATTAAAGCTATATACTGACAAGTTACTTGTAGATGTCGCGTTAGGAAAGTAGGATTATCAAATTAAACAGTATGACCTGCACTGTTTGGGTTATGCTATATATTGCCAGGACTTGTCTATGAATTGATATTATAGGTGATATCTAATTTGTACGAACGATTTTTAAAAAATGTTCTCTGTAAAAGTACCTATCAGTAATCTATCAGACACAAATTAATCTGGCGATTCCTTTCTAGTCCTGCATCACCAGTAATCTTATTGATGGGAGAAAACTAATTACCTTAGAGGCCTCTCAGCTACCGAACATTGGAATCACAGACTTTCAACACATTAAGGTAAACTCCACATCCTTCTATGGCATCCTGTATGCAATCTAGGATACAATTTACAGTGGAAAGGGAAATACAATCAAACCTCGTTATCTAGAACTCAATAGGACTAAGATCAAACTTTGAAAATATCCAAGTATTCAAGATAAAGAGGTAAAAAAAACATGAAGAAAAAGTGGTTGTGATTAATAATTAACACACTTTGACATATCCCTGGTATGCAACTTATATTAATATTGGTGTTCGAGATAACAAAGTTCAACTGTGGTAATTCACTACACACTAGTCATTTTCAACTTAATAGATGACATTTCAGTTTAGTTCACAAGAGCTGAGGGGGAAGGTTTGCTCCCAGTGAATTAATTAAATTATTCAAGCCTATATAGTTGTATGTGTAATTTTCAAGTAAATATTTTTTTACATGCCAGGTGCAATCCTGTTTATTTTCATGAGTCATATTGGCCCAGATATTCTTGAGGATAATATTTGTAAAAGATTTTCTCTCCCTCTATATTCTTATAAAAATATTTGACCCATACTGTAGCCCCACTATACCCCTTTGGGTACCCCTGGAAGCCATGATTTGAACAAACTTGAATCTGTACTTCCTAAGAATGCTTGCATATAAATATCAATAATTATGGATCTGTTGCTCTTGAGGAGTAAATTTTTAAAATATTTTTCCCTAGTATGTATTTCTATGTAAAACCTTGATTCTTTATTGTGGCCCAACACTTGTCCCAGGGGACGTAATTTGAAACAAGAGGCCCATGGGCCATCACACTCACCTGAATCCCACTATTGCCTTGCTGTTCTTCAGCAGCAGATTTTTCATATATATTCCTATGTAAAACTTTGATAGCCCATTGTGGCCTCACCCTACTCCCAGTGGTCATGATTTGAAGAAACTTGAATCTACACTACCTGAAGATGCTTCCTTATAAATATGATGAACCTTGGCTTTGCTGATCTTGAAATTTCAAGTTTATTTCCTTATATTACAATGTAACACTTTGATCATCTATTGTGGCCCCACCCTACCCTAGACAGTCATGATTTGAACAACTTGAATGTACACTACCTGAGGGTGTTTCCGTATAAAAATGACTAATAATGGCTTTCTTGTTCTTGAGATTTTTTAAAGATTGTTCCTATACATTCCTATGTTGAACTTTGATTGCCCATTGTGGCCCCGCCCTACCCCCCGAGGTCATGATTTGAACAAAATTGAATCTACACTATGTAATAAAGCTTTCACATAAGTTTTGTCTTTTCTGACCCATATTTTCTTGCGATTTTCAAAAGATGCCATGAATTTTTTACTATTCCTAAATTATCTCCCCTTGAAAGAGGCCATTGCTATTCATTTGAACAAAGTTAAATCCGCTTCACCCAGAGATGCTTTGTGACAAGTCTGGTTGAAATTGGCAGAGTGGTTCTGGAGAAGAAGATGAAAATGTCATAATTTTACAACTACGATGCCAGACAAAACTGTAAATCTGAGATCCCTTACTATGGCCCCATCCTAGGCAGGAGGTTTGTTGGGGGGGGGGGGGGGGATGAAAAAATTTAAATATATATTGTAAAAAGAAGCATTGAGATAAGTGTCTTATCTGGCCTATTGGTTATTAGAGATTATTAAATAATGTCATCAATTTTTTTATTATTTAATTCTTATTCTCCCCTTGAAAGAGAGGGTGCAGACCTTCATATAAAAACTTCCTAAGGAATGATTTGTGACAAGTTTGTTGGAAATTGGCCTAGTGGTTCTGGAAAAGAAGTAAGAAATGCAAAATGTTTACAGATGGACAGACAGACAGATGATGGGCATTCTTTAATCAGAAAAGCTCACCTGAGATTTTGGCTCAGGTGAGCTAAAGAAGTAAATAAATATCCATCAACTGTTACATTACTATTTCAAATTTTTTTAGAGACCAGGTCCCAGACCAATATAAATCCTTAAGACTTCTGGCAATTAAACAATGAAGTACTTGTATTTGAATAGCTACTTATAGTATCATTACTGGCACTGATGCTTATTTTGCAGACCATTACTAAAGCTGTCCGAGAGCTACTATTCATAGAAGAACCAGACTGGAAAAGAAGCATATCCCTCCCCCCACGTGAAGATCTCGGTATTTAAGACCAAAGACTTCTGTACAAGGACAGTGCACAATTTAAACATGCACAATTTAATTCTCTTTCAATGATAAAACATGACCACTAAAGTTAAAGTTCTAAATTTGATGTTCATACAACCAAAGGCAAATAGGCATCCTATATAGTTAATTTTCCCCATGTTCATTAGTAACTTATTTATAAAGCAGTATAAAATGTTTAGTATTCTTTGAAAAAGTAATTTTTTTTTTAATTTTACAATTTCAGGAATGTATCTTGAGAGAAAAAGTCATAATGGAAAAAACCTTGATGGACTAACTTACAAATCATTTTTACTGAACTTAAAAGACTCAAAATGGCAGCCACCACTGGCCAACCATTGCTTAATTCTCCCTCGTTCATAACTTGTCATGTGGTGGTTACACAACTGAAACAAATTATACCTGAGGTGTACTCAGATCTATCTACAGAGGTGATCAAATATATCCACTGCTGATATATATATATATATATATATATATATATATATATATATATATATATGTATTATATATATTATATTATATATATGTATTACTGTGCTTATTAAACAGCATTCTTAACGTGTGTCAAAAAATTTCTACACATTTGAAACTGCATGTCTTTGCACTTGAATATGCAAAAAACCATTACAGCATAAACAAAAAAAAATCACTATTTTGTGGTGGATCTTCCACATTTATGATGTGTAGTATGTTCTATTAACTATGGTAACAAGAGTACCGGTATATCTGCTGATCTTTTTAGTTGGTGATGTAAGCTAAGCTTTCTTTATTGCCAATATATCGGGACATTTTTTTTATTTTATAAATCAGACTCCTGGTACATAGTACATGTACATGTAAATGTGTGCTTCAGTTGGATTATATAACGAGAAAAACAACAGTATACAAGTGAATTATTTTACTATTATACACAACATCAGCATCAAATGTAGTGCCTTCTTCTTAAATGTCCACTGTGTCTACAATCACTTCATTGGTGTATTTACCTGAAACAAATCATTCCAATAAAAAGTTTTTTTCTTATGGTATTTAATTGTTAACATTGAATTTCATACCAATAAAAATATTATTTTCATTTCTGCTTGTATTTTATTTGTAAATATTTCCATTTCTATTTGTTTTCTCTGTGATAATTCTTTGAAAGTTAGGAGAGTTGATTTCTTGATCATTCTAACGGAATGCAAAGTTTGCCAAGCGAAAGGTCAGGAGCTAAGAAGGCCTAATATGCATGTAATTCTTGTGCGGCTGTCTTTGTGTTTGACGTCAGTGGGCGGGACTATTGAAATTGACACGTGAGGCCTCGTGTAATTTAAATCTATTAGTCTACATTTTTTAAATCTAAATTTACAATTTTATTTCACAATGAAATGGCTTCGCCCGTTATGCAAATTATCCCACGTTTCCAACTATCGTTGATGCCCTGGCATACTCTACTAACTAGACAGTGATTCCTTAAATAATGAATTTCTTGTTTGTCAGCAACATTGTAATGTATCAACAACAGTATGAAACTTAAAACCAGCTGTGTTTCGTTGGACTCTGTGAGACCTACCCATGGTGTTGAGTTGTTGACCAGGCCCAACCAGACAGTTGGTGATTTCACATTTATCTCGGATCACGCTCCTCCGACTTATGATGCTCCCCTGTATATTGCAGCTAAAAAATTAAACATTTCTCTGTGATTCTCTATTTTTGCTATGCAAGTACGTGCCAAGTAATGTCATTAATCAAATACAGTCAAACCTCATTATCTAATCTCAAACTTGATCATCCTCACAACATCAGGGTCCTGAGTCAACACATTGCCATTGGACCCCAGCAAATCAATCAATATATGCGGGCTGACTGCAGTGATGTCTTTCGGGAAAATTACAAATCTTGATTGTTTTTCTTATCTCTCAACTAATCACATTAAGCCTTTCAGTGATAAACAATGCATAACACGTGTATTTTAGGTGTCAACTGATTCCTTTCTGTTTATATTATCTGTCTACTTCAATTTGATTGGTGCTTCTCAATCAGAGAAGCAAGCCCAAAGATATCAAATGAAATTTTTATGGGTCCAACAGCAACATGTTGACTCAGGGCCCCTGATGTTGTTAGGATGGAACCCAATGGGACCAAGAAAAACTTCAAGATATCCGAGGGTTCAAGATATCAGGGGTAAAATACTTAAAGAATAAGTGGCTGGGACTTCCAAATCACTTCGACATATCCATGGTACTCGAGATATCAGTGTTCGAGATACGGAAGTTCAACTATATAACGATTTCAACTTTTTAGGTCCATGTATGAATGTATGTGCATGTATAAAAGTCAAACAACTAGAGGTATTAAAATTGATGCAATCTACATGGGGCTTATGACAATAAAATTAGAATGCATCATTAATTTTTCTCCTACTCCTTGACAAAGCTATAATTTCTTCATATTTACAAAACTTATCTTCTATTGAATTTATCCAACAAATTACAATCCCTGCATTACAAGATTAAAGCATGAACTAAAGTTGTATGTCTAAAAACAACTCAACCTTTTCTAAATAACCTACATGTACATCTGGGTATGGAATCACTACACTTCCTCTGGTCACAAAACACCATATGTTAGGTATAATTTTCAAAAGAATTTTCTACTGTCAGTGACCTTTAATCGGAGGAATGACACGCACTTAAGCCAGTAGCAAACTGTCGTTTAACATGAGCTTCTACAATTCTTGCACCATAAAACATAAGTAATCAAAGATGACATAGCTCATCTCAACAAATGTTATCTTTAAATAAAGCAAAGTCCTACACTGAACAAATGTTCTGGTAGTGTGCTACATTTATGCAAGTTTCATCTAAGCCAGATTTTTATTTACATGTAGTTGGGTATGGACTTGCTCCCCATACTTTTTTTGCCAAACACCTGGAAAATGTCAGATTCAGTATCTGAATCAAGTCTGGTAGTGTGCATCCCTAGATGCATCATCCCTGCAAGTTTGTTATGGTAGAGATTACAGTAACCTGGGAATGAACTTGCTCCAAAAACTTTACCCTGATTACTTATCTAGAAAATGTAGGGTCAAATCCAGCATCCACACCAAGTCTGGTAGCGTGCATTCCTAGATACATCATTCACACAAGTTTGTCATGGTAGAGATTACAGTAACCTGGGAATGAACTTGCTCCAAAAACTTTACCCTGATTACTTATCTAGAAAATGCAGGGTCAAATCCAGCATCCACACCAAGTCTGGTAGTGTGCATTCCTAGATACATCATTCATGCAAGTTTGTCATGGTAGGGCTTATGTTACATGCCAATGAATCTGCTCCAAAAACTAAAATCTGTTAAATTAATATCTGGAAAATGTAGGTCAGGTCCAGCATCAGAAATGCCCTGGGAGTGTAAATTCATATATGTATCATCCATGCAAGTTTCATCTCTGTAGGGCTTGAGGTCACACTAGAATGAACCTGCTTCAAAAATATTTGAGCTGGTCACTCATCTGGAAAATGTAGGTCAAATCCAGTATTTGAGGCAGGTCTGGTAGTGTGCATCCCTAGATGTATCATCTATGCAAGTTTGGTCAACATAGATCTTATAGTTACATGGAAATAAGACCTGCCCCAAAAAATTTAACTTGCTCCAAAAACATTACCCTGGTCATTTTTATGGGAAATATTGGCTGAAAAACCAGCATCTAAAACCTGACTAAATGCATCATCCATGTATCACTGATCAATATAGGGGACAGATGTACTTTGAAAAAAAAAATCTGCTTCAAAAACTTTAACCTGGGATACCAAGGATGTTACATAGGCTCTCCCATCTTTGTTGAGGTGAGATGAAAATCATATTTAAAATGTATAATGCTAAAATCTATGACCTTGACATTCTCAAAAATCAGTTGAGCTATGTAGATGTAGTATAAGGTTCAATATAAATCCCTTCATAATTGAGCTAGGGATCACACAAAAATTTTGTACCTGTGAAGCCCTGACCTTCTCCACACATTCTTTGTTCAGAGTCCCACTGGTTTATAGGCAATCTTTGTGCCAAGTAAGAGTTTTTAATATTTAGATATGTTTCTCCATTCTGACTGATTGAAATAATATTACCATGCTGACCTTATTTTCTGAAAACTTGTCTTATTGTCATGACAGAATTCTTTTACTTATTTTCATGTTATAATGGTTAAATGCTTCAAGCAATACTGTACATTTTTCAAATATTCCATAATGAATTTATGAGCAAACACCCTTCAAAATTAATTTGTTCATAGGCTAAAACATTTCATAATCACTCTTATTATTTTGCAATACCTGAAAAAAAAATGTTCACCTATCCTCTAGTAGAAAATGTTCTCATTTCATTCAAGGTCAAAGACTGTTTATCAATACTTTCTCATTATCAATACAGACAATCATGGCAAACCCCTTTTCCATGACCCATCCCACTTAATTCCCCTGATGAGTAAATGCTAATTACAAAAAGAATTCCATAAGCATTGGTATAGTTGGTGTGCTTTTGTTGATATTCTTCATTAAACTCACCCCTCCTCAACAATAACATTATCTAGTAATGTGGAATTAGTGATTCTGACACGATCCCCGATCTTACAATGTCGACCAATCACAGAACGTTTTACTGAAACCTTCTCTCCAATTTGTGTACCCTCAGCAACCAAGCAGTCAGATCCAACCTACAAAACAATTCAACATAAAGAGACTAGATACATAACACTGTGACTGAATATAATGATAAAAGTTTGATTCTTCAAAGTTTCAAGTTGAAGCATACTGGTGTAATATAATTTTGTGCCTGGGCTTAACATTTCACAATTTCAAAATATTTATTACAATGGTCCTCATTGTATTGAATTTTTACCCTACTTTTGACACAATCTTTGAAATCAAATTAGAGATTTTAAGTTAAAAAATATCTGAGTTATTGCATTACTAAAATGTGTAATGGACTAATGGTACATATAAAAACCTTCATCATTTTGGTTTTAATCTTTATTGAAGTGACACTTAAACAAAGATATACACGTATGTTTACTTAAATCTATTTGTTAGTAAATATAATGACTGTTGGTTAAAAAAGTATCCAAGTTATTGCATTAAAATGGTCATAAAAATAAATTTTGACTCTGACCAATGACCAAATAACTATTAAATCTGTTGGTGTCTTGCTTGAACCATCTTCCACAGTCCACTTACATAGTAAATATATGTCAGTAGATTGAAAGACATTCAAGTTATCACATCACATAAAACTGTTGACCAGTGTTTTCCCTTTATTTCAAAGTAAAGGGATAGAGATCAATTGTAACAGGCTTGGGTTGAAGTTTATGACAAATCTCTGTGGATCTTACAATAATTAAATTTTCATTTTTTTTTTATTTCAAAGTGGCATATTTATCAACTGAATAGGGCTGCGTATTGAGCAAAATATTTCGATACGATACGATACAATATTTTATGAAGCGATATGCAATACATTGGATTCTTTAACAAGTCTATCAAAAAAGTCTTGTATATCAATTAATCCATAGATTTGATAAAAACTGGGTGTTTTATTACCAAATTGGAAGTTCATGTCTCACTGTCTTTACAAAGTACACTTCAAATTCAAACTTTTAATGATTGTAAAACTAACATGTTAAAATATAGCTGTCTATGTATTTTGTAATAGTTATTTAAGATGTGCTATCTCCTTAATGTTTATTTCACTATTGATCATTTTGAATTCAAAACAGTTAAAAATAACCTTTGGGGACTGAAATTCCCAACTTTTTCACAGAATTATAAGAAAAACTGCCTGCCTGATACGTATTAGAAAATATTTTTCGACACGATACATTCCTGAATATTCGATACGTATTGATTAATCGATATATTGACACAGCCCTACAACTGAAGTGGACAATTTGGCTGATAGCCAGTTCTTAGGGAAAACACTGGTTGAAGAAGGATAGACACAAGGACACAGAAGCATTTTAATGTGGAGTCCTGATTATGAATTAGATCTCAAGCTACTCGCCTTGAAGGCAGCTTAAATAAAAAAGAAAATTTGGCTTAAAACATCTAGGGACATTTGCCTTCCTTTTCCTCCTCTCCTTATAGGGTACATGTACTGATAATCAAATTTGACCTACTTGAGATTTTTCTGCCATGACCACAGAGGGGTGTAGATGGGGGGTATCTTTGTCAATCCCAGTGTGTGTGAAGATCTTCTGTATCTGTAGAAAACATGACAACTTAATACACTATGATCAGTAAAACGACAATGTCAGTCCAGTGGATAAAGTGAGGACATACCTGACGATTAGCTTCACTGTATGATGATATGGTATTCACTCGCATACATAACCCTCCATCTTGAATGTAACCATAACAACGAATTTTGTCTCCATGGTAACAGTCTGCCATGTCTCCACGGTGATCGTTCCAAGATGACATATCTCGAATATCAGCAGCATACTCCTCCTCAGAGGAAAACTTCAATATGTCTGCCAAAATCAAAGTTTAAAATTTTTATATTACAAACTCTAAATTTTTATTCTTGAGAATTCAAAAAAATTATTATTGGGAAAAATATTGCTTACTCATTTTCTGAGTCTCAGAGAGGACAGACTGGTTGGCCTGTGGTAACTTGTCCTTGACCTTTGCCTTAGTGAACTGTTTTCTGACTAGGTGGGGAACTAATTCTGTTCTTATGTAGGCTATTGACCTAAGGGAAAAAGAATATATATATATTCTTTACTACATTTATATCAGTTTCCTTTTACACTGTAGTTCTGAACTTCTAATAACAACAGAGAAATGTCTGTAACAGCTTACTCATTTTCTGCTAGGTAATCAACTACCCATTTCTTCATTAAATAAAGGTGACAGTCTGTTAGTCCTGACTTTATACACATATAAGGATGTCTGAAAAAAGTCATTCTAAATATAAGTATCCTGCACAAATATCAGTACCTATATATTTTATTTAGTTTTCCTAAAGATGACCTTGCTTACTTTTTCAAAACAGACTTTTTGACACTTATGGTTTCATCGACATCAGCCTCAGATTGTGTAAATAATATCCTCTCCCCCTTTTCATCAAATCCAAAAAAGTCCTTTTCTGGAAAAAAAAAAGCACCTAAATTTCTGCAGTTGATAAAAATTCATAATTTCAACTATATTGATTTTTGTTTCTTGGAATTCTCCCATTAATGAGGAGATTTTATCTTCAGGCATTTTTTTTTCCTGGGATCTTGGTTCTAAATACCAGCATTCCTATAATTCTCCTCTTACCCAATTGTTTCTTGGACTTGGCTCCTGGGGCTACTGCCTCATAGAACTGCGATGGGAGAGGGGATAAAAGCATGGTCAGTGATGCATCATGGGTACGGTGAAGATTGGCAATGTTGTGTAGAGAGATGTCAGTAATTAGGTCACAGCTGATGATCAGGAGGTCTGTCTAAAAATAGCAGCAATTGATCACAGTCAAAGTAAAAAAAAAAAATAACCAAAAACTTTCAATAGATCTTTGAATTTACTATTGGTACATTTACATTTAAAAATTCAGGAAGAAATTACAAAATAGACCATTATCCTTAGTAGTCCCAAGTAATATACCAGTACACACAAGTACACATACTGTATAAAACCAACAACAAAAAATCAGTTTGTCTATCCACCCATTCAATAACATTGTAATTTCATTAACACAAATTAATGACAGTACATATAACAATAAAGTAGTTAGCTAAACAATGTAATTATATTTGATACACCACTTGTACACACAGTCACAGAGTATTTAAAATTGTGTTACTGTTGATGTATCATCTTGACAAGCAAACAGTTTGTACCGTAATTTTGTGTCTGATCTCTCTGAGAACATCTGCAGTTCCGACATCGTGATTTGACACAGGAACATAGTCCAGGCGAAGCTTAACTGAGCAGGACTCGGTAAGCACCCTCTGTATCTCCGCTTGGTCATCACTGTCCACAACAATTATTGCTTCTGTATCAGAATTACAAAATTAAAAAAGACAATATAGAATAGACATCAAAAGGCACAAATTTAAATTTATAGGAAAGAAATACAGATTGCAATAATCCTTTTAAGGAAACAATCAAAAGACAGTATTACAGAAAATATCTTGTTTGAAACAACATGCATTTGATTCAAGACACATACAAGGAAATAATTTTGTAATTAAACTGTAAACATTTATTGCATGAGGTCAAAATATTAAATTCTGCAAATTTTTCAAATGACCGGGGGCACAGCTAATATGGCTAAGCAGTACTTCTTTGTATCAAAGCATAATCTTATCTAAGTTACCAACCTTCAAATCCAGCTTTCTCCAGTATGTTAATTGGGTACCAGACCATCGGTCGATTCCCAACCAGCAAGGCAGCTTTTGGACATTTAGACGTGAGGTCTGACATTCTACTGCCAGGACCAGCAGCCATGATAATCGGCTGAAACTCCATCACTAAAACTAAGGTAAAATAAACCATTCATCCATTTAATTCTATAGATGGAGAGAAATGCATGCATTGATGATATATTAAGATTCAGAAAGCCTTTTAAAAGCTACAAATTACACTATTCTGTGAATTACAGCACCCACTTTGATTTATATTGTATGCATTGAATATATACTCACCAACTTACAATAGTAGTTTTTTTGAAAACATCAAAAAACCTGTAAACCAAAATAGAATACAATTTTTAAATATAATACAATACATGACATGCTTGATACAATACATGAAATGGTTGCAAAAAACTTTACTCCAGTGGAAAAAAAATTCCTATGAGGACCAATTTCAAAATCTGTCCTCTACATAAATGTCGGATTGACCCCTCGGGCAAGCCTATTTCCCTCAGCTTCACCTCAGGAAATAGGCTTGCTCTTGGGGAACTTGAATCTTTCTGACTACTTAAACTGTATATTAAATCTATTATAAAAGTTATTAATTACATTTGTGGTATTATTCAAGGGCAGATCCACAGGAAGGGTATATAGACCTAGAATGTTTCATCTTTCAAACGATTTTGTCTTACAAACCAGATTTGTGAGGTCTGTCCCAAGAAACTAATAGATTATTCTAACTGGACCCTCCTCTCCAATATTCCAGTTTTCCTTATAAGTTACTTGTAATAATTAAAGATTGAAAATAATCCCCCCCATTTAAAACATATACATGTAGTATAGCCGGGTATTTATTTCTGTGCTGGCTAATATATCATATAATTCTAACAGTGTAGATGATGAAACTCACTTTCTCATAACATTTAAAAAATATGATCATCAAAGAAAAGAAATTTTTCAATCCTTAAAAGTAAATTTCCAAATTTCTCGGCATTAGATGATGAACAAAAACTTTTTTGGTTACTCAATACTGAAGACAAAGAAACTCTTAATTCTGTGGGCAAATTCATAAATGATAACATGTTGTAGTAGCCATACAGTTTTATATATAGTATTCCCTTTAACTGAAATAGTACAATATTATTGTTGAAATGAGCAATGTCATTTACAAATTGTTATACTATCCATTGGCATATCTTTTCTTTATTATTGTAATAATTTCATACTTGTCTGTTATGGGCTCTGAATTAGAAAATAAATGTTTTGTTCTATACTAACTTTACTATTCAGGTAATTTGATGCGATTTCGGTAGAAAATCTTATATGCAATGATAACACACATATGTTTCCCTCATTCAAATGTGCAATGTAAAAAAATTACCTTATTTACAAGCCTGTCATTAAATTGACATCAAAGAGGTTACTCAGTGGATGTTTATAGAGCGTATTTAAAGACAAAGGGATAAGAATCGTTTAAAGTTTTTGCTTTTATGAGTTTCACGTTTTTCACTCAGTTTATGATGAAATTTGGGTGTGTTCGGTTATGAATAAACCGTTCTCGGAATTATTCGCAAAGATATGATTCGTACCCAGCTTTAAATAGATTTAGTTTAATTGCGAGATGGAGACAATCAATGTACTTTACACGAATGTATTCCATCTTACTAAAATTCGTTAAAACCAGAAAAGATATTGTTAAAAAATATAAATTGTTTTACAACATACAAATCTTAGAGTATTATGTGAGAAAGTTTCATTTATTTTGATGACTGGGCCGATTTTGGCACTTCGTGGATTTAGCTTTTTTCAAACAACATTTCTTATGGGTTTGTTGTGACTTTGAGGTCGGGAAGGGGGGCGAGGATCGGGTAGAATAAAACAAATCAGAGCAGATAGTCCTTGAATTTAAAAAAAAAGTCTTTTTCCTTTAAAATATTCCACAGCTAAGTGTTAACCTTAATAACTGTTGCCTCAGTGCAGATTAGTACAGAGAAAAGTTATTTGCTATCGATCATTTTAAAGGCAAAAGTCTAATAACTGAAATGAATATTGATTTCAATTTTTTTAAGTACTTCCCCTCCCTTTTAATGCATTTTTTTGGTGTAAATCTACCGATTGCGCTACTATGTATAGTACATGATTAGTATAAAAAAATTGATATCAAATACTGTATCATAGGGTATAAATAAATGATGTATTGAATTTCGATGGGGGAAATAATTTGTTTTCACTTTGTGTGCACCACACCAAAATCAAACGACTTATATACTTCTTAGTTAAAGTGAAATTATGAATGCTACATGAGATGTTATATATTCCCCACAATCAAAGACAGGAAACATTCCACTGTATATTGTCGCAGTACATTTAAAGATCATTTTAAAACGCTAACAAAGCAGCGCATTTACACAATGTGATTTTGGGGAAAAGTTAATGTTTCATGGTTTCTGGGTCTTCTCTACAGTTTTTACAAAAGTTTGCCCTTTTTGTTAAGCTAAAATGCACCCAAATAACGTTTAAAATAAGTGGAGAGATGACCTATATTAGGGGAATCTGGTGTATCATTCAAATGCTAAATCATTTGGAAGATCAATGAATTTTGTTTTTCACTTTCAAGTACACCACATTCCTACCAAATCCTATCAAGTGAGCCCATATTCCTATCTAGTCCGAAGTATCTGAAGTTTTCCAGGCTTTTTTCACGATTTTGATATTTTACGTGCCAGGAAAACGTCAGGACCGGCGCCATTACGAAAACTGGAAATTTCACCGTCTCCAACCGGAGCTGATTTTCGATACTTGCGAACTGAATTAAATGCCGAACTTACAATTTATAAGTAGCACAATGCTTCTAGTACTCACCAATATCGATGAAAAGAAAATATCACTCCACATTTCGATACAGGTTTTGCAAGATTTTAAAATGCATGAAATGAAAAGAAAACTCGACCGTCTGATAAAATGTTTTCACCAGATTGTATATTTCAAAAACAAACCCTTAAAAACGATGGTGGTGAGTACTAAAGGCATTCTACTATTAATAAGTTGTGAATTCAGCATTTAATTCGGTTCGCAAGTATCGAAATCAACCCGAGAATGCCGCCTCCAGTTGGAGGCGGCGAATTTCCAGTTTTCGTAATGGCGCCGGTTCTGACGTGTTGCCTGGCACGTAAAATATCAAAATCGTGGGGAAAAGCCTGGAAAACGTCAGATATTTCGGACTAATTCCTATTGAATCCATATCAAATGCGCCCACATTCCTACCAAACCCACATCAAGTGTGCCCATAGTCCTACCGAATCCATATCCAATGTGCCCACATACCTGCCAAATCCATATCAAGTGCGCCCACATTCCTACCGAATCCATATCAAGTGCACCATAAATCTTTTTGTTGTCCTGCCACTTTTCAGCTATTTGTATCTCTTGTGCATTTTCCCCGCAATGTGTATAATCTTGTTTAGTGACATAACTTTTAGAGGGGGTAAAAGATCGGATTCCCCTCCTCTGAGTCAGAAATATTTTTATATGGACACCATTTAAGTAGCTTCTGGTGTTGATTTAAGTCATTCTTTCAATTATTTGAAACAAACCAAAATCTAGCAGCATTACACCACGGGTACTGTCTCGGAGAAGCTCGGTAACCCGAGGTGATGCTATAAAATGTGACAGTCTCTCCAGGGACGACCAAGCTATTGATACGGCCAATAAAGGTAATGTTACAATTTATTAGGGCGCGTATACGAACATGCCACGAATGACGAAGACTTTTCCAAGATCCCACTACACCTCATTTGCAAGGAAATCAGAGAATCACGTAAAAGTGATGTTGTCTGCAAGGCAGCAACACATTTTAAAAATGCCGATGTTGTAGAATAGGATTTTCCCCATAACCAGCCCCCCCCCCGAATCTGTACTCTAGAGTGGGATTTCCCCCGAGGGGAAATCTCACACTAGAGCCAATTTCCCCCTCTTTCTTTCTCAGAGTAGGGTTTCCCCTCTTTTATCAATGCTTAAATCATATCGGCGACATTTGGCTAAAAATTTACATGAAAGTCAACTGATTCTTTTATGGAAATACATGTATGAGTGTTTTCGACTCAAGGATTGTCGAATTTAGTATGAAATCTAAATATATATTGTTCAAATTATTGAGTCTCAACCCAAAATTTTACCTCTTGGGAAATTGTAAAATTAATCACTCAAAAAATTGTAAGACTCGATGTCTCAATACCCTCTTTCGGTGCAGCGGTACGTGTTTGCTCACGAATTTTAAAATGATATCAGGTCACTTTTTAGTGATTTGATAATTTGTTTGCCCTCTAAAGGCCCATTATTTTATCTGTGGATCCATCCGTTTAACAAAGATTGTGTAAAAAAAAAATTCTAAAATTTATGTTATTGATAGGTTCCACATGCCATTTTGTGAGTATTCAAATCGAGTAGTTCTTCAAAGGGGAAAAAGCCAAAACCATAAACACAACAATACAACAAACACTGACTTTGCAAGCATAAGTATGAGATCCCAGCAATGTAATATTGGTTTAAATATATATTGGATTTGAAAGCAGAGAGCAAATACTCTCAAAAAGTTTTCAAAATTTCAAATTTTTAGAAATAAATGACCCACTTTAGATCCATGAATTTTAAACACCAGAAATTGCACATCAATATTATGTACATGCAGTTTGAAATACAATTGAAGAAAAAAAATTCAATTAATATAAGAGTCCTTTTTGTTCCTATGAAACAACCGATTACATTGTACAATTTTTTTTAGAAACAAGGTTTGACCAGATCTAGATGAAAAGAATAAGATTTTAATGCTAAAAAAATGGCTGGACGGTTACTGAGAAAAATTAGATTAATAATGGTCATTTTTCTTACATCGTGTTTGAATGGAACTGGTCGCCATTTTGAAGGGACACTTGTAACAATGTCTTCCTCTTCTTCCTTATGCATAAGTACAGTCATGATATTTTATGGGCGGGAATCTTGGCTCTGGGGGAAATCGCACTCTATATAACTATTACCAAGAGTAGGACCCCCCCCCCCCGAAAATTGAATCTGGTGTGGGATTTCCGTAGCGGAAATCCTACTCTAGAGTCATTTTTCCGTGGGGGAATCCTATTCTAGAGCCAATTTTCCGGGGGGAAATCCTATTCTAGAGCCAGTTTTCCGGGGGAAAAGATTTTAGAGGGGAAAGCCCACTCTACAAGACCGGTAAGAAGAGGAATCAATAAGAAATCAGATGTTATCCTTCCATAAAACTGACCGTTCCTTTTTTTGAAAGCCTTCTTTTTCTGATAACTATTTTATTTGACAAACACTTATAGATGTGTTCGCAGGTTTCGGAATTTTATTCAATATTCATACGCATACTATGCAAAGATTAACAAGGTCTTTTGTTATCGATTCAAATCATGTTACGTTGCCAGGGCACTGTATCCGAGTTGTAGCAAGCCTTGGGGTACTCTCCTTGGGCTTTACCTTCCTAAGCCGGTTACCACCAATAATATCATTTGCCACTATCAGGACTTGGTTATCTCTCCAGGATCTAGGAATGATATTTTGATCTTCCTGGTCAAGAACAATATTCTGTGCTCTAGGATACATAAGTTTCATTAGAGTGTGCAAGAAGATACAGGCCAATACAATAGAAGCTATAAGTCGTTATCATAGTCAGTAGACATTGAAGTCTGTTTGCTAGAATTCCAAATATTAGCCCAGGACAAGTGTTAAATGTAAATACTCTCTTCATCTGTTATATTGAAAAATGGTTGCTTGAGCCAGATCTTAATGCAGAAGGATCTGCTGGAACTACAAAGTAAGTTGTTTTCTTGTCACCAGCTGAATGGGAATCCTGGAAATCTTGTAGAATGGTTTTAATGGCTTCTCTCCAACTGAAATTTTACTGTTAAAACCTGGGTATCATCCGATGAACCATTAATTCGAATGCCGCCCAAACTTATGATTCTCATCCTCAAGTGTTACAAAGATAAGGGAATAGAAACCTTTATAGTTGTAGTATAGAGAAACATCACTGTGAGGACACTTATTCAAGTGCACCAAGACAATGATGCAACAGGAAGTCCCAGATCAATCTGCGATAGTTTTCCAATCATCGGGGGTTGTTGGGCAGGTAATTACTTCTTCGGCCTAAACTTCGATGATGGCTTCACAAACCTTAAGGATAAAGAGGGAGATTGTGTCATGAGAAACTCTGAGAGCATACAATAATGAGTGGAGTCTCCCGATGCAAAGTACCCCAAGGTTATAGCCAGCTGTAACTAAGGAGGAAGGGTCTTCCTATACCATGTACCATTCTTGCTATTCTAAAAAGGATCTTCTAGATCGTTTCTGGTTATATTCTTAAAACGTTCTTCTAGGAGCCAAGGTCTTCAGTGTTGAGTTCATCCATAAGCCCTGTGTACTGCCCTAGGATATTTCGCCTCTGCAAGCATTGTCTGACCCAAACTTTTCTCCCCTGTATCCCTTTCCTCTCTTCTTCCTGGA